TATATATATATATATGCCCAGTTTATGCTTCGGCCCTAAAATCTTAAAATTCAATCAATAGGAATACAGATTTCAATTAGGATTAATTAAGACTAACAGCCTTATTAGCTAAATTTTAAGATTTTATGGTTAAGACCAAAGCATAAATCAAACAATATATGTACTTGTGCTTTTCAGGGTTGGTAAGATGCCATTCCAGTTTAGATGTAGCATTAATTCTGCAATCGGAGTCACCGAGCACACAGGCCCACTTTGCAATTTCTTGTCTTAAACATTTAGTAAGATCATTCTCATTAGGAATTTCTTGATATCCTATTTTTTTAAAAAGCGTAGGCAAAATTCTCCGCATTTCTTCCTAAAAATTATTAAGTAAACTAATTATATAAACTTTATCATTTGTGTCATAACTATTTTTAAAGAAAACTGTGTTAAATATACTTAGTATATGTTAAATACATATTATAGTACTGTCGTTGTATATGATACGTATTTTAAAAGTTTCAATTCTTAGTAAAGAAATTATTAAAACATCTAAATGTAATAAAATATAAAAATTTATACAAAATTATAAGCGTTTTCTAAGTTTATTGCAAACTCTAGTAAAAAAACATGATTTTTTTACTAACTTCCTTTAATTTTGTCTCTTGCAAAATTATTTATATGTCAATTTTTAGATTATATTATAAACTATAATTATTATACACATTTATTTTAGATAATTATATTTTAGATATCAGATAATTTGTTGTTATTCAAAATTATTATTTAAAAATAAAAAAATATATAATTTTTAGATAGTAATTTTAAATTATGCGATAAACGCAGCAATAAATGTTTATAAAACAGTATAACATATTTCATTGACGAAATTCACTATATACCTCAAGTCCAATTTCCGAAAATGGAATAAAAATTGACAGATATTCAAAAGCTTTGATCATAGGGTACCATACTATATAATCTATCTCTTGCGATAAGTAATTACTAAGATTCCAAAATGTAGACAAATTTATAGATTTCTCTTCTATTGCAAAATAAAATGCATCGTCAAGAATTTGAGCACGATTCAGAACATGTATGTTTTTATAATTGCCAGAATTTAAATAATAGGCGATTCTTTGCCACATTCTTGGATCATAATTAACACGATAGTAGCCTGTTGTATAACAAATCAAAATATTATCGATTAGATGCTTTGCGTTAATTTTATAAAACAAAGAATATATATATACATATGTACCTTTTTGTAAAATATTGCGAACAGTATATATTGTATAAAAAAGATTTTTATTGGAATTGCAAGGATACAATTTTATATGTATAATACGTTAAAATAAATAATTAATTTAATGTATTGAAGTGCACATGACAGGGTTTATATAGTTAAATACAGGACATGACAAATAATATAGAGTTGTAATATCTGCACGCCGCATATACGCACAAACATACAATATACAAAAAATATAATAAATTTTACGTGTCAGAGATCTTATACAATATTATAATATTATGTTTTTGTAATATGTAAATATTTTAAATTTGCATAAATAAAAAAAACAAATAAAATAATAATATTAAAATTAATAATAATATTATTAAAAAAATATATTAAAATTAAATTATATTACGAAAGGAAGGAAATACTAACTAACAAAATTATTAGCTTACACTTACCAGTTTGCTGCAAGTTCAATATGATCCAATCAGATTGTTTAATATTTGGAATATTTATTTCTTTAATATATGGTGTTAGCCAATGATAGGGTTCAGTGTCATTAAAATTGAGGTCTGTTTGTGTGGTGTAAGTTATAGGTATCCACCATGAGTTTCCTTTATGTGATATTATTATATTGCCACTTCGACTATTTTGAATCACATTTACTACGGGGTACTGGCTTGTCGTTGTCCATTTATTCATAAATTATTTTAAGTTAAATAACGGGTACTCAGAATTCAATTCAATATAAGCATTTTGCATAGCGGTCCATAAATTCGAGACAGAGCTTTTAGAGCTAAATGGACCAAATCTTTAAAATTTAATTGATACCAAATATCATAATAAATTACAATTATGTTTTATATAATTAATACATAATTTCGCAATTATTTTACGCAATTATAGTATAATATAATTTATATATAGCATAATTTATATATAATTTAGAATTTATATAATTTAATACATTTTGAGTAAGCTATGCTTTTAAGGCTAAAGCTCGATCTAAGATCTAAAAGTTGAAATCAAATAGCAGTAAGCCAATTAAATAATAAGCCGCTTGTAAATGTATTAAATGTACTTCAGAACAAAGTAATAATGTCATATAAGATGAATTAATTTCTATTATAATTATATTTAAAATTACTACTTACTGCATGTTTAAATACTTATTGATCCCCTTCCAATATACTACATCAGTAAGTGTATGTTGAAGCATGCGAAATATAGCAGGTACTACAAAAATTGATAATATAAAATGTTATAAGATATAATTAAAATGAATTTATTATAGCGTAAATCGAATTTAATTAATTTTGTTATTTAAAATAGTTTATCATAAGTTTTAATACTTTTTTCATTTTTGTACAAAGTTAATTGCAACATAAAAAGATTACAGACAACTCTCTTTAAGGATATGAGCCTTTTTCTTGCATTTATATTCAGATGAAAGATAAAGAGAAAATATGAATGTGTGTGTGTGTGTGTGTGTGTGCGCGCGTGTGAGTATTAATAGAATTATTTATTTAACTTTACCTTTGATATAAGAAATGGAGGTAAAAAGCAAATCAATATCAGCGATATCATTGATATTTTGTTGAAGAGGTTTCATAAGGGAGTGAGTATCCAAGTTAAGAGAATCATGTTGAATCTGAACTACAAATAAATCTGATATCCGAGAATCTGGAAAAATCTGGACATAACAATTCTTAATGTAATTAAACAAATATTCAATCAGAAAAGATGCTCGGCATAATAACGGATATACAATATGCGTTTTAAAGACGTCTTTATATCACAAGGTATGTTAGAGACACCAGAAAATTATGTTTTAGAGACGCATTTATTTAGCTATTTAGCATTATTAACTGCAATGTCTACAAATAATAGTAAAATAACATTATTCTTATCACTGTCGTATAAATAATTTTACTTTTTGTACCACCATTAATTTAAACTTATTATTTTGATTTAAATATGCTATTTCCTGACTGTTTTTATATTTCAGATTTTACAAAAATTAGGAAGTATTGGTCGATGTTCTATTCTTAACAGCTAAAAAATTTGCAAAATTTTGTGATTCTGTACATTGAATCAAGAAATATTCTTTTTTAAATATCCTCTAATTCCCTTTAATTATAATTAAATTAACTCTCTAGCTAATGCAAAAGATATATGTAAATAAGAAAACCTCATTAACGGTATTTGCTGCAAGCAATCCTGCAATACCATCGATTATCCATAAATAAGACCACCAAGATAGTCTGATCAGATTACTCGACCAATGATGTGCTACTTCATGCGCCACTAATCGCGTAATCTCTATTTTACGTGAAGGAGGATCTATTGCTTCATTATATATAATTCTTCTTTCCCTAAAAGTCATTTATAAATAATTATGTTAAGTTCTCATCAGAGAATAGAAGGTTAAGTTCAAAAATAATTAGTTATCGTTAATACTCCTTATCGAGTAAAATAATTAATTAGTTACAATAATTAAATAACTAATTACCATTACTAGTTAGTGAGTCTCATAAATTCGTTACCGTTACTTAAAAAGTAACTATTCGTTATTGTTACTTTTTTAAAATTAAATTAAGATCAGTCTAAAAAGTTTTGCAATATTTTTTCTTTAAATATTAATAAAAACAGTAAATATTAATGACATTAAACCGATATGTGAAAATATAACTTTTCCAGCAAGGTATCCAAGATTCAAGATTGAATCTTACTTGTACTACAAGTACAAAAATTATGTATGTATAAATATGCTGAATACGGAAAAACTGATATAAACGTAACTATATTCAAAATTCATTACTATTATGAAAAAGATGTAACTACGCTGCTGTTATTTAAAAAAAACGTTATGAAAGAAATAATTTATAACAGTGTTATAAACTTCCATTTGTTAAATTACGTAAACATAAAAAATACAGATATAAAAATATTTTTGAATAAATTTTAAATGTTAATGTTGTTTCCTTGTACTTTTTAACCAATTAAACCAATTTTAGATATGATAAAAATATTAACACATTAATTAATATCTTCTCTTCTGTTTTAATAATGTATGTATTATTGTACCTGTAAAAAATAAGTCCCCATTGCGACATGCCATCTCGCAAGTACCAATTCCACATATTTTCGGATTCTGGAAGAACAACGTGATCTAATTTTGCGATTTTTTTATTCCATCTGATTCTTAAATACGATGTAACAATGTCAAATATATTCCGCGCAAATTTTGTATCTCGTGCAGTATATGGTCTGCACCACATAGTTTGATGTTCGAAGGTATTTGCGTTAATACGATAAGAGGGAAAATTGGTCAGCACAACTGCCACATGATATGTTGACATTAACGGAGTAGCGTGAAAATGTGTCCAAACCATGTTATTATCCACATACTCTAAATTTCGAATCGGCATATTCGACAAAGCCGTATAATTTGTATGATGCAGTATGGAAATGTTAAAAGTGGTTTTAAATGCTGGTTCATCCCAACATGGAAATAATCGTCGGCCCCTAATAGGTTGAAAATATACTGCGTTTAACCACCTGCAATTTAATGAAAGGTAATGAAGAGTCTTCAGTAACACAGTCCTGCGATTTGATCCACTGAGATATAGGAGTGGTTTGTGACGTAATTTTTTGCGCTAAATCCGAATCTGGTACATATTTAAAGCCACGAATTTTAAGTCAGAAACCACTCCTACATCTCAGTAGATTTTCCAAAGTCTCATTTTTGCAAGCCTGTATATTAATTAAAAAATATTAGGAACTGGAAAATATACATTTGTCAATATATAATATGTAGTGCGTTTTTAATCTCTTAATATTTACTCACATTACATCTTGTCTTCCATTCCTAAATGAAATTTCTAAAACATTTTCTTTGAGATGAACCGGCATACTGTAGAATTTCATATTCAGAATATAATACCCAGGCAAGAGATCCTCCGTGAGGTAAAATGTTAATATATGCGTTGTAGAATTATACATATGTTGTTCCCATAATAATTTATAGCTGTTACCGTTAGCCTCGTTAATCAATGTGGGCGTGTCAAATATATCCAAAAAATATTGATGCAAATATATGTATTGCGTTTTTTGATAAATAAAGATCTTGATACTGGTTTCGCCTTCTAACGTATAAGCAGTATAGTTCTTTTCGAAATACGGTATTAACTTGATATTATAATTCGTGGGTACTATATATGTTGGTAAACGGTTAATTTGTTTAACTGCAGGACGGAATTCGTTTTTCTTATTTTTCAAATTATATATTTTATTTTTCGAATCATATATTATTATGATAAGAGTTATGAAACATAACGCGTTTGCAAAGTACATAATTATTTTCATTTTAAATATTTCTGCAAAGTAATGACTTTTTGTTAGAAAAACAAATATAAACTGAATTCATATACTTTTTTCATAATGCCTTTTGATAAGAGAATGTATTACAGAAATTTTTTATCTCATAGGTTTTAATGTGTAACTCCATTTATATAAGAAAATATTTGATATAGCTTTTTATTTTATATATATATATATATATATATATATACTTTTTACTATTATTTGAAATAGTTGTTATTGTTAATTTATAAAAATTTAAATAAAAATGACGGTAAAAGTAAAAGTATATAAATTTTTAATAATTTTCTAGAAAATTGTTTTTGGATGTGAAAGTAGCATGTATGTGTGCTAAGAAACTGTTACTTCATTTTAATGCTTATTTTTTTTAATTAAAGCTATTAATTAAAAATTAACTTTATTAAATTCTTAATACTTCGAACTTAGAAATTTAGACTCAGGCAGCGATTTATAAAGATATGATATGTTTTCTCTCAAACAAGGTCAATTATCATTGATAGTATCACTGATAATAATTCGGCATATGTTTATTAACAAGTTGTCCTTTATTATTTTTTATAATCAGATTACAGTTTAACAAACAACTAACAAATAATTATGCATATAATATAAAATTTCACATTTATTTTATATCTGCTTTGGTACTATAAGTATGTAATACAAAATTTTAACCTAGCTTATGATTTTAAAATGATAAAATATATGCTATTATTGCTAAAATAATTTTTATGTCGGTTGAATATAACATTGGAAGAATAAAAATATAAAATTTATATTTTAAAATGCATCAACAATTTCGATAGTTGATAAAAATGTCTTTAATCGAAAATAAAATCGTTCGTATTTTGTACGTTTTTGTAGTAAAAAAGGTATTTTTAATGACTTACCATATAAATTAAAGTTGTATACCAATAAAAATGTAATTCTCTACAATAATTAGTTAAATTATTAATATATCACCATAGAGAGATCGTTAATAGCATATGTATGCCAAATTACGATCTTAACGTTTCGAGAAACCACGAAATACTAATAAGATGTTGGCTAATAAGTACAGTAATATTATGATAAACTGCTAAGGTCATATATGATCAATAAGCAACGCAGAATAAATATATACTTAAATATACCTTTCAAATATTACAATTTTATATTTAAACTTGTTTTCTCAGAAAGCATACCAACAGTTGAAACAAAACTATATTCAACATTTTTTATTTTTTATTCTATTTTATAAGAATCTTTCGTTCTTATGCCACACACATTACAATATTAAATACAGCATTCTAATTTTCTTATTGGATTCTTATTTTACATTTGCCTTGAAATCGATCATTTTATATTTTGCAAATATTAAAATGCTTAAACTCAACAAGTATAATTAAACTATTGAAGAGAGAAAGTTTTTCTTTATCTTTCTCTCTAAAAAAATCCTGCAAGTTTTAAGAAAGAAAATAAAAGTACGTTTTATAAAGATTTTAATGACACTCTGATTTAATTAACCTTTTGTGCTTTAAATTATATGATTGGCTTTAAAAATCTTACTGTTTTACACCACATGCCAACTCGACTAGCAATAAAATTATACTAAAGTATAATATTGTATCGTTCTTAATACATATAAATAAATATAAGGCACATTATGTATAATACATTATAAAACTGCACATAAATTAATATTATAGCACGTAAAGTAATGTACTGTCAATTGCGTAAAAATATATAGAGCGCAAAGAATTAATTGGAAAAAATGTTGTACATTTTTATCATTTGTATCGAGGTAATGTCACTTCATTGGACAGACAAACTACTTGATAAAAAGCGTTCGAATATTGGAGGACAATTTGTATATATCTTTTTGCATGTCGATTTATATATATATATATCTTATTGTCTCTATTTTTTTAGTATTATCGAGTTAAATAGTGCTTCATAAAAATTTAATCTTCTCTCAAAAACAAATTGCAGCACTCCAATTATTTCTATTTACATTTTATCATTACGTATGTATGGAAAAGACATACTATGTTCCGCGTCATGTTGAACTATTATATTTTCCTAGTGGCACGACAACAATATGCGATAATAACATGAATAAGAGAACAGAAAGTTAACAGATTTATCAGATGTCCTCTTATTTTACTGTATTGGATTGCATTAATCAATATTTTATTATTATTAATATATTATATTAAAATTCGTTATAGTGCTTTATCTACGATTTTTTTTTTTATCAATTTTGATCTACAATTCCTTTACTTACAATTCATAAATACATATGCGTATACAAACATAAAATTATTGTAAAAATGCGAATGAAAAAGATGCAACTGTTTCTTCTTCATTAGCTTGGAAACTGCTCATTACATTTATATGAGAAACATTAAGCCTATCATTCCCGACATCCAGTACACAACATGTACGCACACATCAATATGTGTATTATCGATGTAAAAAATGAAATGGATAATGATTTAATAAATCAAATTTGCTACATCTTCCTTTCTTCTCGAATATTAAGCTCTTTTATACACGAAAATATATTATATATTTTTATTTTAAAATAATTTATTATTAATATAATTAAATATTTTATATAATGCAGCTATAATATTCCAAAGATTATGCAAAAGAAAAACAAGTTGATCACGCCCGCTTTCTCAACTTGCGAAATGTAATAGACGTGGCGATTTTTCTCTCGCAGTCTCTTACGTTTGATATGAACATTTCGTAATGCTCGATTCTGAAGTACTTAATACTCAGCTCTCAGAAAATTTCCTCTTTTAATTGTGAAGTGCCGAGGTTAAAGACCACGATAATGTTTCACAAACAATTGCTCAACTCATCGCAGGGGGTTCTTTCATCGTAAATACATTAAGCAACTAGTAAGCGCTACAGTTAACGTTTATATTACATATTTCAAAAAATCAATAATATGTATATATTTTTGTTTATCAAATAATCACACATTATTTCTTTTTTTAAATTAAATGATACATTAAAATAATCCCTGACTGTATATAACAAATTATCGCACTTGGTGTTCATCTTCAGAGAAAGAGGAAAAGAGGAAGAAACGATCAAATGAAAAAGAGAATAAAAAGATTTTACACCAAAACAATCGAAAGCAAAAACAATAAAAATCAAAACAAAGACAGGAAAGAAAAGGAAATAAAGATCCTTGTAGAAGATTGGAGGAAGAAGGTACAAAAAATTAAGGAAAAAAAAAAAATAAAAATATAAAATTGCGATAAAAGAACACTATCATTAGAATTTGGACTATCTTTTCTTATGAAATTAATATCAATGCATACATCATGCCAACGATACAGCTCTTATGCAATCTCGTCGATAAGCGTATCATAGGCCACGCAGGCGAGCCTCCAGATACGTCAAGGCGCGTAAGAGCGCATTTGTATTTGTATGCGTGATTTCGTCATTCGCAAGTTTATAATTTGACGTGAGACTGGAATATTATAATATGACATATATATTCTCGAGGAAGTCTAAAACTTTCAGCAATATTACAATACTGCTAAAAATTTTAGAAACCGTAACAACAACATTTAAAATAAGACATTTAAGTACAACTACACATATAAATAAAGATAGATATAGTTGTATGATATTTAACATATCATATAATTAGTTCAATGTAAGTTAAATAAAAATTAATTTAAGAATATATTACACATTTTTTTTTTAAAAGAATGCACTTTTGTAAGAATCTATTATTTTTATTGTATTTGATATTAACATTGCAATTTCGAAATGTTCGAAATCGCAAATTACTTAAACACTTGAAGCGTGATTTATTGCCTTATATTGGCGATTTATCAATGTACCTCAATAGAATCTACTCCAGACTTTGATCCATAGTTCATCTACTGTCTGGCAGCGATAATTTATAAATTCGATATTTCTTGCGATAATATAGCGAGAGAGAAAGAGAAATAAAAAAAAATTCTTTCCCATTTTCACATATAATAATGATAAAAAATAATAAAGCGCATTTGTTTCAAATATATGTGCATATATGTATATACAATATACATGTGTGCGTGCGTGGAATACGTAAATGGATATAATATATTATAATACAGAATACAATTATTTTAACGCCAGTTATACCTCAAATATTTTAGTTGTTTCTCATTTTAACAAATGTTTTTCAATTACAAGAGATAAAATCTATATATACAGTGAGGGATTATTTTAATGTATCATTTTATTTAAAAATAGAAATAATGTATGATTATTTGATAAATAAAAATATATATATATGTTATTCATTTTTCATATTTATCAAATAATCCTACGTCATTTCTCATTTGACGTTTTACGACTACCGAGAAAAATATATGGCATTGTAAACACTTGAATGATGATGATACAATCTTAGTGCTATAATTCTTTGTCTCACGAAAGACGTATCTTCTACTTGCAAACACGATTAAACAAAATTCTCCTATGGGGCTTTATCATTTATCACTGTTTTTTACGGAACGTCGAGTGGGTTCGAGCATCCGAATAAAAGACACGATCCTTTTATCGCAGCTGGATAATAGTGTGAAATGTCGATAGTAGTCTTACTCGTTTACCAGCGGTGTTGATGATAATTAAGTTGTCTGTGTAAAATAGCGGAAAGTAAGTGGACAAGCAAGACAGTCAAGTAAAAATAGATCAGCGAGAGCGGCTAACGGCTTTCGATATAAAATCCGTTCAATCGCTGATTTCAATTTAATGCGAAAGTGAGTTTAATCGACGTCACAGCTATCAAGTAGCTTTTACTTTTCAGAAAGATTCAATCGTCAATGCATATCGTTTCGCGCTACAATGGCTATTTGTTATTTTTTTCAATATTTAATTTATTCTTAATTTGACTTAATAACTTCGTTATTAACAGTTTCTTGAGCTTTTGCAACTTGCTTTCGATAATCATTCATGATTTAAAAAGTGGTATCTCTTGGTGATATGTGATATTAACCAATTTTCAAGGAATTGGCTTCTCATTGTGAATCTCCTTCGAACTTTGATCAGTCAAAAAAGCAAAATTTTATCAAGAACGTGGCAGAATGTGTGTCAGATGTGTATTAGTTGGAGACTGCACACAATGAAAAGAATAAGGAACAGGGAACAGAGAATAAGAATTTCAACCTATCATAATAAATAATGTGAAATATACAGTTTCTGATAGGTTGAAATGCTTATTCTCTCTTCCCTATTCTCTATTCCTTTTATTATGTGCAGCTCCTTACAATCAGTAATTCTTAGTTGTTTTGCGGTCACCGCTGCGTGAACCTGCCCGGATTACGATTTTATACTCCCCACTATCAATCGGAAGTTCAACGATAGTTCTTCTTATCGACCAATTAGACGGACAGATCACTGGGGCTCGTCCGCAGGCAAAACATTCTGCAATCACATATAAAGGAAGCGCTTTAAGAGAGACAAACAGTGGTAACATGCCAAAATTCCAAGGTATCAGCTGGACGAATTTGACGCGAGTTTCGCGGCAGTTCGACAACAAACAAAAAAACCTCTCCATCAACTGTCGCTGTTTCACCACAGGCCATTGTCTCAGCTTAACTTCGATTCCGAAAATCACTCGCTCCACGCATTTTTTTGCACCGTCTGTCTTCACGATCGAAAAAGCTCGCAGGATGCCGCACGCTGTCAATATCTATCATCCTCAGTAAGTATCCACTTCCTTCGACTTTTTAATTAAAAAAAAAACAATAATTCTAATAATAATAATAATAATGCAACAATAAGGCTATTAATTAAAACTGAAAATATATAAAATAGAAAGGTAGAAATAAGACGAATGCACACTCATTCTTCATTAATTAATTTTCCATGTAATGCTTGTTCTATTATATTAGATATCATGTAATGTACTTTAAAATCATGAAATTAATATTTTTAATCTAAAAATTAAAATTCAAATCTGTAAATACGAAAAGGAAATTCATTCTTTAAGTTTACACAAACTTTACGATTATAAAATTTTAATCTGAATAAGAAAACGCTGCGTATATTTATACGAGAACAAAATATTTAAAATTATAACTTAAAAAAGCTTAAAAATAAATTACTATTACAATAATATCAGTCAGATTTTTTCCAGAAAAGAATAAAATTACTAAATAATTTGTTGGTAAACAAATATATCAAATATATAATATTTGATATAATTTTGCAACAGTCAAAATTAACACAATTTTATTTATAACGATATCTTTGTTTAACATGTTTCAATTATGCCTTTTCAGAATCTCGAGATTCATCGTAACTTACGCAGCAAAAGACCCATTATTAAAAAATGGATTTGATTATATTGGTAAAATACCGCTTTTAAACGCATGCACGGTAGAGATCTCATCTCAACTTCGATATTACATCGAGGAATGCGCTTTGCTATGTAGTCCTAAAGACATTTATATATGTAATGGTACAGATATCGAATATATGCAAATGTTAAAAATTCTCCAGAAAAATGAGACTATCGAAAATTTGCCGAAATATGAAAATTGGTGAGTGATCCAGGTTCTTCCTGAACTAAACAGAAAACATCTACCGACTACTCTATTAAATCTTATTTCATTATTTACACTGTTTAACAAAAAATAATTTCTTCATAAGAATTTAAGAAAAATAATTCGTATGTAATACTCAGAGCGTATTAAATATTAATTAGTATATCTCGGTATTAAAAGTCAATTTATTAAATTGTTAAATGTTGCTTAAATTATTTTTTTCACAAATGCATTTTATATAACAGCTGGTTGGCAAAGACTAATCCTGCGGATGTGGCACGCGTCGAGAAATGTACGTTCATCAGTACAGATTTGGAAAAGGATACTATTCCTACACCACGTAAAGATGTAACTGGAGATCTTGGAAATTGGATCTCTCCTAATGATATGGAAAAAGCTATTTTAGAACGTTTTCCGGGTTGTATGAAAGGTCAGCAGAAATTTTGAATATTTATGACTTTCAAATATTAAATTGTATAAACTATATATGTGAACAATGTACTAAATCTCATAAATATACTTGTATAAATAATTAAAAATTACTTATTGTTATATGAATGAAACGATAACTAGATTTTTTTATAGGACGCACCATGTACGTAATTCCTTTCAGTATGGGACCCGTAGACTCCCCATTATCTAAAATTGGTATAGAAATTACCGATTCGGCTTACGTAGTCTGTTCAATGAGAATAATGACTAGAATGGGAGAAAAAGTACTCGAAGCTTTGGGAAATGATGATTTCGTTAAATGTTTACACTCGGTGGGTGTTCCAAAGCATAATTCAAAAGTCAGTGTAAGTCATTCATGGCCGTGCGATCCTGAAAGAACAATTATCCTTCACAAGCCCGCGAAAAATGAGATTGTATCTTATGGAAGTGGTTACGGTGGAAATTCTCTATTAGGAAAAAAGTGCTTTGCGCTTCGAATTGGCTCGACGATAGCCAGGAAAGAAGGATGGCTTGCTGAACATATGCTCGTATGTTTTCTATTTTTTTCTATTCTTTCATTATAATTTATCCTTCTTATTTCTTTATTAATACTAAGAAATAGCTTTATTGTTATTTTATTAATTACTTGATTCAATTTATATGACTTCTTACGTGACTTTCTAATCCAACATAGCAATATGAGCTAGCAATTCAGGACATTAGCATTAAAAATTGCCTCTATAAATATATGCTAGAATATGCAATTTTAATTTTAAAATAAAAGCAGTAATAAAGTAAAGTTTATTCTCTACTTCAGATACTAGGTGTCACAAATCCTAAGGGCAAAAAACGATATATCGCCGCCGCTTTTCCAAGCGCTTGCGGTAAAACAAACTTGGCTATGATGCAACCTACTTTGCCGGGTTATAAGATTGAATGCGTAGGAGATGACATCGCATGGATGAGATTCGATAACAAAGGAAATTTACGTGCCATTAATCCAGAGAATGGATTTTTCGGAGTTGCTCCCGGTACGAGTTCGGCTACGAATCCCAATGCTATGAAAACTATCTTCAAAAATACCATTTTCACTAATGTGGCGTCTACTAGCGATGGAGGAGTATATTGGGAAGGAATGGAAAAAGAAGTTGCAGATAATATCAAGGTAAGATAGAACGACGACTGTTTATAAGCGAAATTAAATGACAATACGAAAACATTACAGAAAAATTTAAAACTTTTTTAAAAATAGTGTTTGAAACTTATTTGCTATTTCTGCATTATTTTAATTCAATTTTTAGAATTTAATGTAATAGTATTATTAAAAATACGACAAAGTATGTGAATACGACATATATATATGTATTATATATACATACACACACACACACACACACACACACACACACACACACACACACACACACACACACA